AACATGGGGTTGAAGCACATGTTATGTATAATGTATAATATGTCGCTGTTCCTGTTCTTATTAGAACCCATGTACTTCCTCTAATTCAAGGAAAAGGCAGAGCCAGCTGCATGCTGCATGTGAAATGTAACATGTCTCAGCCGTGGAGAGTAATTTCAATTAAAGCATGTCAGAGTGGTTCAACGGGTAGCAGCGATGCTTAGTTTATATCAGATTATATTTAGGGGGGATGAGGCCCGCGCATCCATGTATCCTCACAAACAAAACACTTAATTTTGTTGATGCAAATAGCTGATCTAGGACTTCAATTAGCACATCACTGCATTATCAGATTTTCAAGAAAATCATTAAAAAATAAAAAAAAAGTCTATTATATCCTTCCATGTACAAATAGAAAGACTTCAAGAGAAGGAAGTATTTGCACTTTATGTTTTCCATGTTGGTTTAAAAAAAACCATAGAAAACTCTGTTTATTGCCTTCTCACACAAATTAGAAACCACTCCATTAAAACATGCTCTGCTTTCTATCTACCTAACCTATACCAAGTGGCTTTAAAATAATTCCAAGAATTATTTATTGAAAATTAAGCTCAGGTTTTCTGCTCTGTAACAGAATGCCACACTGGCAGCTTTCCTTCTATCATCCCTAGAAACTGTTGTTTTGTTTTTCTGAGAAAATTGTCCAGTTTGGAGTAAAATATCCTTTCTCTCTCCAGTATGAAAATATTACAGACGCTGGCAAGCAGCCACCTACTTATGCCTGTGGATCACTGCATTGAAGGCAAGCCCATTTGTCCAGCTGGTGGTGAAGTTCAAAACATTAACTTCATTATATGACCTTGTGGACTGCCGCACCCAGCTCAACAGGATCTTTTCACTATTGGTTTGCTGTAGCTCGGACATTATATCTTTCATTACATCTTTAACCTAAAAAGAAATGCTCAAGGTCAATAAAAAAAGAATTAGAAGGACTCAGAAAACATTATTGTCCCAAACTTGGCATTCAAGCATCACTGCAAAAGGTTAGATATCAGAGACAGATAATATTAAATTATGCCCAACCATAGCAAATGAGGACTCAAAAACATCCTTCTTATCTAATTACTCCATATGTTAATTCTTCTGTTTTATACTTTAATCTAAGCTCTTTGTACCCTTAATGAGGTCTATGCATTAAGAACACCGCACTTACCCTAAAATCCTATTCTGGTTTCTCATACATCAATGCCCAGCACTAACAAATTCCTTAGCCATAGAACCACAGTGAATAGTTTTCCTGGAAACCTCTACAACAAGGAAGGTGCAGAGCTTAATCTGATGAGAAATGGTTTCTCATCATTAAAATACAGATGAATTTTTATATATCATTAGAAATGCTTAGGATGCCATCTACTGAAAAAGCAGTATAATCTGGAGGTGGGCAAATTGTTTCATACTCAAAACATCTCAAGCTTGAAGCATCCCATTCTGAGTTCAAAACAAGTTGTTTTGACCTCACTAGAAGTGTTCAGAGATGTTACACCCATACCATAAATATTTTGAGCACAGAATACTTCTGAAACAACATCAAAATGCTTCCAGTAAGATCAGAACAGGTTTGTTGAACTCAAAACAGCACGTTTCAAATTTAAAACATTTTCTTCCCCACTAATATAAACCAATCTTGAACTAAGGTATGACAAATTCTTGAAAACAGCTCAAGTTCCTTCTTTTAAAATTAATAACACAATAATTTTCAAACCAAAATTAGAAATGCAACATGAGATTTAACAAATCAAAATTTCTGTTCTGTCCAATATACCTAAATTTTAGATAGAGACAGAGTCTCTAATGGACTCAATGGTAAACTATATAAATCTCTTTAAATGGATCCCACTCTTTAGGGTACATAGAAGGTCTGGCTCAAATGATGTTTCCAGCCCTAATTTCAGATTTACATACAAATCGATCTTCCCTGACTTCTTCCACATGTGAAGTAAAGAAGTCTAAAGCAGTTGTTTCCCATGTCATCCAAACAAAGGGACAAGCGGGCATTTCCCATGTTGTCTAAATAGAGAAAACTGATTTATTCAAATTATTAATTCAAAATTTAGCATGCAAATTCTCAACTTTAATTCAAATTTTTTGAATAAGTTCTATTTTATAAATATTACATTAAATATAAGACATAAGTTATGTTATTATTACATGACCTCACTACCCCTTGCTAGTTACCTGTAGTATCCACATGGACCATCTGTAGTTACAGACCATAAGATGTAAATCATTGTTCTGAACACAGCACACAAAGAAGATGGAGAAGAAGCACAAAAAATGGAGTTTCATACTCACTTCAAACACTAAGCCATAGGTTGGCACAGGGCTCAAAGGTCTTTATCTCTAGGTAGTAGTCAAAGAATACCCACCGATGCATTCCACTGCAAAATGATGATTCACACACAAAGGCTAATAAAAAGCATCAAATCTGCTCACCTGCCAGTGCAAAATTATGCTCCATAACAATCCAAGAGTCAGCTTGTGATTTCCATCAACAATGTCTGTCCCTCCTATGTTCACCAGATCCACCTGAAAATATTGTCAAACAACAACAACAACAAAATTCTCTTCTCAATCAAAGGCATGGAAACTTTAAAGGAACTAGTAGAAATCAGGAATGGAGAATCTGTGGCCTACCAGCTGTTATTATACTACAACTCTCAGCGGACCTTAGGTCCTCACATCCCTGGTAACAGCTATGTAACTTAATGATTTAACTGTAAGTGAATAATTCAATTTAGCCAAACTGAAGTAGCTAACTGCTATATAATATTCTAATTTTAATATACTGGCAGTATGATGGATCAATTCAAAGGAATTTATTTTCTTAAAAAAAAATTCGCCAGGAGGAGGATGAAAGCCTGCAATATAAATGCATAAAGAATGAACAGTAAGATAAGAAGAGGTAAGGAGCTCTGTAGAACTCCTGATATCTCCCTTTTTGCAGCACAAAAAAGTTCTCATGCTATCAGTGCAACCCTTCCACTACAAATATTTTCAAAGCTATTGCTGCAACCACAACATAGTTATCAGTAATAAGGAGACAAAGTTTTTATGTTTTCCCATAAAAAAGTTCCAATACTGAGTCTGTACCATAAAGCTCCTGCTGGAGCTTGACCACCTTTGGCTTCTTGCCAGCTCATTCCCAAAGCAGAGCTTTTTTCAGACGGATAATTGTATGGGATCCTGGATTTGCCTTCTACCATTTTTAACAACAAAAATAAATTTTGGAGAAAAGAAGTAATTTGTCATTTTATAAAGAAAAGACCATTTCCAGCAGCTGGACCTTCCAGCTCCAACTCTCTTTCCTCCTACATAATGATATATCATAGATCAATCTTGAGGAGCTATCAGTTCCAGAGCAAGATTCTGGAGCACGTATGGAGTAAAAGAAAAATACAGAAAACAGGAAAGAGTTTTGTGCTGTGATTGTGTTCAGTTCTGTAAATGGAGTCAAGCTAGTATCCAAGTCTATGAATAGGCAATATTTAATCGGGTGACCACTTCTTACAAGCCAATGAATCAACAACATCTCTATGAGTCTAATGCAACTGAGAACAGACTGAAGTTTATACAAACAAAATTACAATTTGGCTCAGCCACACAAAATAAATGTTCGTGTTTTCCATCTATAACCCCTTTAGGAACTCCAAGAACAAGAAATACAAGTTCACTTCTTACAGTAAATTATCTTGCCATATAGCACACTTTGCTATCTACAATGTATAACCAGCTAGGAAAATTAAAAGGAGGCATGTTAAGTTGTATAAAAATTTTAGTCCACATATCCATACTCAAACACAGAGTTTTCAAGCAATAATTCAGAAAACAACTTTACAATTATCTTTTTCTGACCAGTTTCAAAGAAATTGAACATTTTAGAAACTTACATTGTTCTGATGTAAAACCTGAAGTACTTTGTTGACATTATTCAAAGCATGAACTCTGGTAGTTCCACGTTCTTTTAGCTTGCAAAAAGAAAAAAGAAAACAATGTGCAAATAATAATAAATTTTATAATTAACTTTTCAGGAAAGGCACAGTAAAGCAAAGGTACAGATTTTGGAATACTCGTTCTAATCTAACTGAATGTATATCCTCTCCCCCCCCAGATCTCTATAAATACCCACAAAAGGGTCACATCACCCTGGGCACAGAGAGAACTGCTCCTGTCTGTGCTTCTGCA